AAAAAAAATTATTTTGCTATTGCCTCACACAAAATGCTTTTTACTGCTGCTTCATACAAAACAAAAAAATGTTACAACTTATAATGCCTAAAGATATCAGATGAAACACATTGTCTTGAATTCTATCTTAGACAATTGCTGTTGCATTAGACCTGATGCAGCAGGACAGTTGTACTATTGGTGACGGTGTAGTGATATGGAAAAATTTTCAAAGGAATTAAGTCCTGAACTTAATTAAGATGTTAAGAAGAACTTTTCTAAAAGAATACAGCATGCAATGACCCAGCTCATTTCTTGGCTAATGTTGTTATTTATAAATACAGAGGTAAATATTTTACTGATAAAGAAATAGAAATTGGAATGGACATGGCAAATTCAAAGAATCCATATTTACTTTCACTTTTCATTGATTTTAAACCTTTAAAACATTTAAACCAGAAGCAGCACCATTTCAAAAGCTTATCCTGGATCTGCAGGAGTTAATAGTATATTTTATCATTTCATCTTGTGCATTCAAACATTAGAAATAGACTTGGCATTGATAAAGCAGGCAAACTAGTTTTTCTATTCAAACTATTTTACCAAAAAACATTAGAACCAATGATTTAATAAACTAAAATCACTTCCAGATAAAATACATGCAATCCTATTGAAACCTATGAGACATCTGTTTGAGTATATTGAAATTATTGTAACATTGTGGCTATTCTTGAAAAATTGTAGTACAAGTTAATGATATTTTTAAAAATCAATAAGAATAAAAAATTTAGATAAATTCTGCAATTGCTAGCATTTTTTAATTATGTCAGTAAAATAAAAAGAGATTGTTTTGATGTCATGGTAAACATTGATAAGAAAATAAAGTTGCTTAGCATTCCATCCATTGATTGGGGATAAGCTCAATATTATGTGTTAGTTCTTTCTTGTTCAAAGTTTTGGATATTTGTTAATATAGTTTGCCATAAAGCAAATGTATAACCAGGGATATAAAAATTATATAATTTAAACAACAACTTTTAATTAAATTCAAAATTTACTAATAAATATTATTTTTATAAATCTTAATAGGTATGGAGAGGTTCTTATCTAAGGGTAATGGTTGGAAGGAAATTACCTTCAAGAGCTGATACCGAAATCATCTGCACCCATATTGCTCAACATACCCAACCACCTTAATCTTATATGACAAACTTGTTTGATACTTCCAGCTTTTTAATTATTTTCAAAGATTATTGTTTTTTTTCTTCTTTTGTTCATACTGTTATGTTAATGTGATATACATACATACATGACATCACAAATAGTGCAAATGACATAGCAAATAGTGGACGCTTTTTTCTAACCATTAAAAATAACTTTTTTAAAGAGGAAAAAAGAAAAAGGGAAAAAATTGTTTGCTAATCACACGAAAAATTGTCAACCAATTGCCACTAGATTATATAGAAAAATTATTATTAAAGAGAATTTATTAAATCTGAAATTCACTGTCTAGTCCAAACAGGAATAATTGAGCCAAGTAATTCACCTTGGCGAGCCCAGGTCTTAGTAGTAAATGAAAAAACTATACATCGCTAATTATTCTGAAACTATTGATAAGTATACAATGGATCTGCATGTTTTTAATGCAAAATAGATGATTTTGATAAAACATATGAACTAACTGACTACTTTCCTTTAATTTCATATTACAATATGTGGTAAGAAAAGAAACAATGAAAATCTGCTTAAGTTTAGATTGTAATTCCAGCATTAACAGTAGACTGATGATAATGCAAAGTCTTTACAGCGTATTATTGGAACGTTCTCGTACTATGCAAAATGGATAAGAAAGTTTTCAGATAAAATTAGACCTTTGAACTCAACTCCCACTCAATCAGCAGCAAATATCAGCATTTGAAACATTAACATTTGTTCAATTTTCTATGCAAACCATTGATGAGAATATACCTTTTATTGTAGAGACTGATGCTTCTAATTATGCCATATCTGCCACACTTAACCAGGATGGAAGGCCTGTTGTTTTCTATTCACAAAACTTTTAAGGAAGTTATTCATCAGTGTAGAAAGAAGCTCAAATGATAGCTGAAATCATTAATAATTAGCACTATTTTCTTTTGGGTCAACATTTCATTCTCATCACTAACTAACAGTCTGTGGCATTTATTTATGATTATAAATCAAGCAGTAAAATAAAGAAAAATAAAATAATGCGGAGAAGAATAGCCTTGTCTCCATATTCTTATGATATCCATTATTGCCATGGCCAAAATAATAGTGGTCCAGATACATTTACTTGTGTTAGATGTGCAGCAATAAGTTCAAAATCATTATATGAATTTGCATACTGCCCTTTACCATCCTTTTGTTACTTGCCTCCATCATTTTATTCAATCAAGAAACCTCCCTTATTCAATAAAAGATATAAAGCAAATATGAAGATATTGTAGAATATCTAAAGAAATAAAAATCAAGTATTGCCCAAATGATGTGCACCTAATTAAAGCAACTCAGACATAAAAAAGTATATCTATTGACTTCAAAGTTCCAATATCTTCTTCAACCCCTGAACAATATATGCTAACAATTGTAGACAAATATTCCCATTTTGACAAGATATGACAACTCAGACAATAATTACCTGTTTAGCTTATCTTTTTTCCATGTTTGGTATGCCTAGCTATGTTCATTTTGATCGTTGATCCTCATTAATATCTTTTGAATTAAAGCACTGGTTCTTATAAAAAAGGATCACAAATAGCAGAGCAACCCCTTACAACCTGACTGAAAATGAACAAGTCGAAAGATACAATGGAACTATTTGGAAGTTTATTTTACTCACTCTGGAATCTCAAAACCTGCCTATATCATGTACTTCTACTAATTGTAGTCCACACAAACGTTTTTTTAATTTTCAACAAAGATCATCATCTGGGTCCTTAATTCCTTCATGGCTTGTCAACTCAGGACCTGCTCTTTTTAAAGGAAATGCAATGAAAAGGAAATGTGAAGATTCAGTAAAAGAGGTTCAGTTCATTGAAGCAAACCCTCATTATGTTTAGTAGACACTACAGTGTCTACTAAACAGCTGCCTCCCATTGGAACAAGACCTATAATACAAACATCAAACAGCAATTTAGAAATAACAGCCATCAAAAACTATCCCCCAACCCCTAATGGTAGTAATGAAACTCCTTAAACACTGAAAAGGAACTAGAATACAATCTGAATCCTATAGAGCAAATAAACATTATTCCTCGTAGATCTTCTCAAATTTCTAAACCACCCGAAAAACTTTACTTATAAATACACCTGAACACTTCAAGAGGAGGGTGAATGTTATGTCAATGTGATACACACACAGACACACACATACACATATATTTATAATAATATCAATATTTACTTATGTATACACATATACATTTAATCAAAACCATTAAACTTAGAAGAGTAGTATAATCATAACCATGGAGAAACAAGCAAAATTTCTTGAGAAGAATCAAGAAGATCCAGAATTCATCATCAAATTCTAGACAAAAAGTAATGTAGCACAGATTTACATTTATGCCAACGTAATAGATAAAGAAGCGGTTCAAGGATGATAAACAGAATTTTATGTTTTTATCCTAAGTCTTTGTCTAAAAGGCCTTCTACAAGACAGCAGCTGCTGGATGCAGTTTACATCTGCCCAAGATGTAAACTGCATCCAGCAGTTTACATCTTAAACAGTATTTATTCCAAGACACTATCTCTAACCTTTACTAAACGAAGAGCCTTAGGCAAAGATATTTGAAGTCAGAGTTTACTTTTTCTAGCTTTTGCCTAAAAAAGAAAATTCCACAAGACAACAAGACATGGGGTAGGTTGTTTTAAATTCCATGCTACCATTAGAATGGTGATCATAATGATTTTAAATCTGACCTGATTTATGATAGAAAAATGTTAGTGTTGCATGAAAATATAGGTGGAACTCCACAAGATTTTATTATCTAACATTTATTATTTATAATTGAGTATCCAACATATTAAAACACAGCTCAATTATTAAACACAGCAATTTATATAGCAGGTTGATTAATTATAAAAAAAAATTTAGATGACTTAAACATATTATCTAAATGGTTTCAATAATTGATCTCTCATTAAATCTATAAAAAAGTAAAAAAAAGAACAAGTGAAAAAAATAGAACAAGAACTAAAAAAAAAATTATTAAGAAGACATACTCTAAATCTTAATATTAATGACAATAAAAAACATAATATGAAATTGCTTAAATACCTTGGATAGTTGCTAAGCTACATCCAACTCTTTTACTTAAAAGCAACTTTATTTTTAAATGTGAGAAAATTGCTAAATGTATAAACATACAAAAAAAATATATACAACCTTCTAACAACAGGTGCTGCTAAACTAATATATCTTACTAATTTTTACTGTATTTAAAATTACTGTACTTAAAATTCACTACAACTCATTCATTGAAAAAAACTTTCATTACGTACATGTATAATATTGTTGAAAAAAAAAACTGTTATTTTTATTATTAAAAAAAAAAGAATTAGGTCCAAATATATTTTAAACATTTTTTTCACAATTTGTCATACTGCCAAAGTTTTTCAGTTCTTATATTAGGTTTACTTACATTTTAACTGGAATAACCTAGGCACAATAGAAACTTTATCTAAAAAAAAAATTCTGTCTGTTATTTATTATGTATTGATAATACAGTAACTTTTGGAAGGGAGGGCTGTAACAAAGTACACAATAATCCTCCTTGATTGTAGTGGTTCTCTCAATCTTGGGAGGTAAATGATATTTAAAAAAATAATTTAAGTTCAGAACTTTTTAGATCCAATTAAAAACTTTTAGAAAGATTCATATCTCTACATAACTCATATCACTACAGTGAGAAGAGTAAAAATAGATTTTATAAATTTTTAAGATAAAATTAACTAAACAACAAAATCTTAAAAATAGTTAATAATCTAAAAAACCAAACCTTTTCCATATGATATAACCAACGCAACATTATTTTGGTTGACTTCACAATAAACATCATTTTGTGAAATGTTTTTAAATATTACAATAATACTAATATAATTCACTATTCCACGATAATTGTTTTTAGCATCATTAAAGAGATTCACCAAACTAATTCTATTGTATCCTTGCTGTAAAACAAAATCTACAAATGGTTTGTTTGAGAGATACAACATTGAATAATCATACAACTTTTGCACTTCATCTATACTGCTAACTGGAATGCCTTGAGACACAAGCAAATAGATACTCATTTTAAGGTTATTATAGACATTACAATTATTAGAATTATCAATTGAAAAATTCAAACTTGAAACAACTACATTTGAAAACAAATTAACTTTATATGTAAATACAGATGTTAGTGGATGATTCTTTATACTCTGGTTAAATAACAATTCTATATTAGTATTAAACGTTATTGCCAACTTCCATAAGACTGGTGCAATTGAAACTAAAACAATAAAAATAAATTACTGACATTATAAAGAGATCATAAATAAATAAAAAACTATTACCAAACACTTTTAAAGTAAAAAAGAAATCATTTAAGTTAAATGATGACAATTAATAAATGTCCATAAATTGTCATTAAATATGTAAATGGCAAAATCAATTTTATTATTTTACTAAATTTTATCTGTAAATAAATATTGTATTAAAAGAAAATAATTTTTGTAATTATAATGTTTTTGTAATCTTTATGACTGGAGACAATATTCAACAATCTTTAAGAAGTTTATCTTTAAGAAATAAATGTAAGTAATTTTAGAGACTGGAAACTATAATTAATCCGAAGGTGTAAATAAATCATATTAAAAGTGTAATCTTTATAAAAGTGTAAAAAAGAAAATTTCTTGCATTAATAAGTTGTAGCAAAATTTACCAGTGATGAAATCAGCCAACTAAAATTAATTGCGATATGCTGAAAAAGATTATGACATTAAAAATTATGTTTAGCATTAGTTTTTATGATACATATAGTTTTACTTCAAAATTTATTTACTAAATATTGAGTAGACCTTTTTTTTCAGTCTAGTTAAGTCATCATATTTACAACAATATCCTGTTAAGTTATCAAATTTAAAATAATTTGTGATAAGTTATTACATTTACTGATTTAATATCTTCTTCTATTATGAGGCAGTCAAACAATTTTTATATTATTACATATTTATTTTTTGTGTCAGCATTCATTATTAATTTGAAATGCTTCAAAAGTGTATAAATTTTTCTTCGATAACTTTTGTTAAGTGTGTGATAAGTTCTATTTTCCACACAGAAATGTTCTCTTACTCCAACAATAAGGCTTATCACTGCTATTTTAAGTGCAAGAATAAAGATTATAGCTGAGCAATACATATATGTTGCAATAATTGTGTTTCTGACATCTGGAGCTTGACCAATCGAATGAACCATTCCATCCCTTTTGCTGTTTCTATGACATGGAGAGAGCCAACTAATCATGTTACAAACTGTTATTTGTTTGATACCACCCCTACAGAACAGAGCACATGCCATCTGCAATTTGTTTCATTGAGAAAAATTCCTCATTTCTGATCAACTGGAGACTAACAAGAGTTATTCTCTGGAATATATATATATATATATATATATATATATATATATATATATATATATATATATGTATATATATATATATATATATATATATATATATATATATATATATATATATATATGTATATATATATATATATATATATATATATATATATATATATATATATATATATATATATGTATATATATATATATATATATATATATATATATATATATATATATATATATATATATATATATATATATATATATATATATATATATATATATATATATATATATATATATATATATATATATATATATATATACATATATCACTGATCTCAAAATATAACTGGATAGCGTATACAGAAAAATTTTTAGAAGCCAGCTTTGGCCTTCCAAGATGGCAGCATATTTAGTTGATTACAAATTAAGAAATTTTGGTTACGATCTTTTATATCTTTTTAAATGAAAATAAATGTGCAAGCCTCAAATACAAATATAATTTTTGGCTTTACATAGCAAATATCTTAAAAAGAAACGCAATATTACATATTTACGTAAATTTCTAAAATATATATAATATTTTGTTTAACAAAATACTCTTAATAATTAGTTTGTATAATATCTTTCTTTTTTATATAAAAATTAATTTAATTAAATAAGATAAAAATTTTTAGTTAAATAATTAAAAATTAGTTTATTTAACATTAGTAAAGAACGCACTAGAAACTAGTATTATACCTAGAACCTAATAGTTAACTATTAGGTTCTACTAATATATATAACTAGTTATAACCTATTAATAGAAGTAAAAAACAAACAAGAACCTAGTAGTTATCCAATTCAAAAGTTTTGAAACAATTTTCAAATAATTATATGTAAAAAATCGAAATAATTTTATTCATTTTTATTTACATTTCATTTATTTACTTGCTTTTAATTTTAGTTTTACCATAAATTATTTGTTTGATATTATTTTTTATACAATTTATGTACCTTTTAGTTCTTAAATACCCAATGCTGTGTGCTAGAAGGTTAATAACACAACTGCATGGTAGGCAGCTGAATATCTTTTTTAAATAAACTATTATAAATTAGTTTCTCAAATAGATATCACAAATTTACAAATGCTACATGAACTATTAGCTGAGCTCTGTGAGTACACACAACTCAGAGGTTCCTTCTAGAATTATATATATATATAATTATTTGTACCATGTTTTTTAATTGGTTGTATTTTACTAAAATCACTAAATATGTATGTATGTATGTATGTATGTATGTATGTATGTATGTATGTATGTATGTATGTATGTATGTATGTATGTATGTATGTATGTATGTATATATATATATATATATATATATATACATATATTTAATACAGATAACTTTATTTCAATGTCATTTTAGCTACGTGTCTGAAAATATATGAGATGAATGCTTTTTTGAATGCTACAATTTGGAATATCTGCATAACCGCGGTCACTATTAGTTGGTTTTCTTTCTAACAAATCATAATTTCTTATTAATTCAATTTCAGTCAGATATTTTAGTACTGGAGTGAGCAAAAGAAAAAAGAATCTAAAACTTTTAAAATATGAGTTTTATCTTTGATACTGTAGTTTCCATTTGAACAATGAACACTACTTTGCATCAAGATTTGTTTATATGTGGCTGTGAGTTATTGGCATTTGATATTGTTGTTAAACATTCTTGCAGATCTCACAGCTAAATAAGATCTCACAATGCACAATAAAGAGCTTGTTAGATGGTTTTGACTGAGCTTATATGTTAAATGATTTTATGGTGAACTTTCTTTTTCTTCTCAGTCAAGATATATATTTTAACTGCTACCTAATATCTAATGAAATCAGTTTTTAGACTATACAAGATCATTTGCGTTCCAATGTTTCCAAGAAATGGAAAACAAAGAGTTTTGTTACATGCACACAATGCTGACTTGTATCCATTGGCAAATAGGTTTCTTGATTTTAATGTCATGTAATCAATCTTTTATGCGAATAAACTCATCGGCATACATATAAAAATATTTAACTGCAACATACAGTTTAATAATATAAAAAGTCAGCAAACTATAACATATATATCCATAATTCTTAACAGCAGGTAAACAGTATATATAACTTTAGTTGAAGAGATATTTCCAAGAGGTGTTTTGAATATTTGTATATTAAAAATTTAATAAATACATTTTTCTCAAACAAATGTATTTCTACATACATTCTCATCACCAAATTTATTGAGAGATTATCCTTTAAGTTATAAGAAACAATTATTTACTTTATATTTGTTTTAAAAGTTATTATAAACAACTATAATTCAGACCTGTTTTTTTTTTACCAATACAAGTAACATTTTAGAATATTTTAATCATATAATTTATGCAATAATAGCATTCAAGTATAATTTAAATCTAGAAGAAGCCCCTGAATTTTTGTGTACTTACAGCACTCGGGTAATAGTTCATGCAGCATTTGTACAAATTGGCTTGCTTAAAAAAACATAAAGTATAAAATTGTAGGCAGACATGATTGCTGCTGCTTATCATGCTGTTGTGAATGGTAAACAGCAGCAATTATTAACCTTCTAGCATACAGCATTGGGTTCTTATTATTAATGATAGCATTCTTAGTTATTAATATGCGGTAGTGGTGTAGTAGTAGAGCGCTCGCTTCATAAACGAGTGGTTCGGAGTTCGATCCTCACCACGTCCCTGGTAGTACCGCGCTCAACTCGTTTCTCCGCGCAGCGGCCTTGTTCATCAAGGTTTGTGTTTCGGAGTTATAGAGTTGAGAGAGGGTTATAGCCACAAATAAGTAGCCTCCTCGTCTGTAGTGGCCTTCTCGGCCTTGAGGAGGTGAATTAAAATTAAAAAATTAAAAAAAAAAAGTTAGAACTAAAAGACACATAAATTATACATAAAACTAAAATTGTAAATTTCACTAATGCCGTTTAATAATAAATTCAATTATTCAAAAAAATAATTTTTTTTTTTCTAATAATTATAAAATTCATTTGTTTTTTTGTTTCTTTTTTTACAAATGTATTTGTCTTATTTCATTATTTTCTTTTGTATTTTGATAATGTAAAATAGAATGTATATCGGTTTCACCGTTAGGAGCTATAATCACCGCCATCTTGGGAGGCCATTTTTGACTTCAACTTTTTTCGGAGAAAACAATCCGCTATCCAGTTATATTTTGAGATCAGTGATATATATATATATATATATATATATATATATATATATATATATATATATATATGCTAATAATCTCAAAAAGCCTTTTCATATAACCAATTCTATGTAGCATGTTCTAAAACCAAGTTATTTGCATTACACATGCATATCAAGTTATTTACATAACATTTGCATATACACATGCTTAAACAAGGTATGTCATTGAATGAAAATTTCACAAATGTTATATTTGTAAATGTTCTTATTTATTGTTTTTTGACACATATTTTTATGTGTCATATGATGTGGTAATGCATATTTTTATTATGTGCTATATAAGGCTATATTGTTTTATATTTTGTTACTGTTTGGTAACAAAATATAAAACCATATAGCCTTATATATGTGGTAATGCATGTTTTTGCTATGTGTTATATAAGGCTATATGGTTTTATATTTTGTTACTGTTTCCATGTGTGTGCTGTTAGTAGTTTAAATATAAACAATAAACTCTGGATAACTCAATATAATTTAACTTTATTAATTGCCATTATTGGATCCATTAGTTATTGGATTATATTGCCAATTACTCTAGCAAGCTAACAAGCTAATTTCTTGGTCCCCTTCAAGGTTTAAGTAATTAAGAGTTTACTGTAATATGTTATGTGATTTGTTAATTTTTTGATGTTATTGTTGTGTTTTTTTGTGTTGATAGATTAGATGACTTAGTTTACTTTCAAACCGAGGTCTTTAATTTAAAATGATTATTGGGTAGTTTCATTACTGAAACTGACTACATATAATCATTCACTAAATGCTAAAAATTCAGTTTTCAAATAAAAACAAAGGTATATCTTATTGTGATTATTTTTAGTTAATCCAAACTTGCAATAATAAATCTTGAAACTTTCACAAAAGATAAAAAACCTCACAAAGTAAGTTTCTTATTTGTTATCTGTTTAGTCGCATTTTTGAGTTTGCAAATAAATAAATAGAGTACGTAACAAATTACTGTGTATTAAGGCTTTTATAAAAATTATCAAGCAGATAAAACTAACTTATTTAAAATAACCTGGTCTCTTAAGCCCATTTTTCAATATCCAAATTTGCTTTTTAAATAAATTTTTATGAGAGTTAAAATATTATTATCATAGCCTAAGTTTCCAAAAACATCTGAAGAAATGTTACACAACTGTCTTATATGCTAAAGATACTTTTATTATGTAGAAAATATTAAAGTAAATAAGTAATAATGTAATAATTAAAAATACTAAATAGTTCTAAAGTATAGTAAATTAAAAATTAACCAGAAGGCAAAAACTTTAGGTAGTCAGTAAAATGATAACTGCATATATTTTTAGAAAACTAAGACGTTTTAATGAGCACAACAGTCATGATATTTTATACATTTGCTCATCAATTTTTTAAATTAAATATAATGGTATTTGATATATTTTATTTAAATTAGACTGTTTTCTTATAAATAAATTATAATTTAACAAGCATTATGAGCATTAATAGAAGCATTATAACAAGATTTATGGTTTGTAAAAAAATTCGCATTTTACCAACTACCAGAACTTTAAATTGATTTATTTTTTGCTGTTTAATATAATGTATAAAAGTATAAAGATTAAAGTTTGGAAACAGTTGGTTGTGGATTAGACTTACCATGACCCGTATCTTACGGGCCATGTCAGCTAGTATAATATGGTTACATAATATGATTACAATGTAACGATACCTTTTCATTTGTGAAATAATTTAAACCAATTGTTTTGAAATAGATTGAGATATTTTGGAAAGAATTTTTGATAGATAACTGTATAAAAGTATGTTAAAACACAAACCTTTAAAAATCTCTGTTTTAAAAAAACAAAGTGACTGAAGCTACTTTCAAAAAAAACAGCTCATATATAATGCACATTATATATGAGCTGTTTAAAACGTTTAGATTTTATAATATTAAAACTTATAGATTTTATAATATTTTATTATAAACAATTCCATAATAATAACAATAATATTTAGAAAATCAAACCTGTTCCAAATGCAATATTCAAATTAATATTAATATTGTAGACATTACAATAAGAATCAACTGGTAATCTATTTTCAGGCATTACAATAATACCAATATAATTCACTGATCCAAAATACTTTTTTGAAGCAAAACTATAGAGATTCAGCAAATCAATTTTATTGAGTCCAGAAGTCAAATTAAAATTCAGAAATTGTTCATTTGAAAGATATAACTTTGAATAATCATACAACATATTTTGCAGATCAATAAAAACATTGTTAAATAAAGTGTCTTGAGATACTAACAAATAAACGCGAACAGTTAAACTATTGAAATTGAAACAATCAAAACTGTTTTGTAAAATTAGAATTTCTAAATTTATTAAATTTAGATCTAAAGAGGGGTTAACTTGAAATGTATATAAATTTGTCGTAGGAAAACCAGAATATTGACCAAATAATGAACGACCAAACGATACATAAATTATTTTTGTAAAAAAAGAGTACACAGTAGATCCAGGAGAAACAGAAGAAAGTAATTGAAATTGATCTAAATTAATAAAAAACAAATTTTTAACAATAATTACAAACAAAATTAAAAAATTATTTTATTTTAAATTAATTATAAAAAATGTAAATTTGTTTCAATCTTATATATGATTGCTGAAGTTAAAAGTATTGCCCACTTGTGATTGTTTGACAACTCTTGGCAGCCATTGCAACAAGTTTATAAGGAGAAACAGCTGCAGCACTTTTTTATAAGAAAATGTAAACCAAAGTGTATACAAATATCTAACTTATGTAAATTTCAAACATTGTAATGTAAAACATATATCAAGTTTTAGAGTTTTACTTTTACATGAAAATTGTATTGTGCTTTTTGTAATTGTATTTTAATTTAATTTTGATTTATAGCATTTGTTTTCCAATTTATGAAGCCGTTTTCAAAGCTCAAATTAAGCGATTGCACATTTCGATATCTGAAAATATTTCTAGTCATTAAGTCCTCAGATTTTTAAAAACCGTTTTAATGAAATGGTCATACTGCAAAAATAAATGAAAAAACAAAAATAATAAAGTCAAAACTTACATTACTTTTAATTATTGTTTATTTAAACACCAGCCATTTTAAAAAGTTAAAAAAAAAGTTATAGGAAAAAAAAAATTACTAAAGGGTCCCAAATATTCGCGCAGAAATTTAAAAATAAACCAATTAAAAATTATACTAAAGCTATTTGTGCATTGTATGAAACAATAAAATGGATTTTTGTTTAGGGGGAAATTTAGAGAAATAATGTATTTAAAAAACTAAATTATTTAAATTAGATATTAATTGATAATAAAGATAATAATTTTAAAGATATATTTTAAAATAAGTTATGAGAGTTTTTTTTTGTTTTGTTTTAAAATAGCTATAAAAAGTTTAAATTAGTTTTTATATGTTTTTTAACTCCTCTGTCTTTTAATTTTGTATACATATCTGCTAAATATTGAATAAGATTTGAAATAAAATATAAATAAGTATTTTATATCTTAATTGGCAATTTCTTTTATTTAAAATATTTGATCACAGCTAAATACTTTTAAACTGATGTGATTTGCAGTAGTTTTTTTGATATTACATACTTTATCGTACTTTATTTTTCTAGTTTTATCTGATGGTTTATAAAATGAATTAAATTATTATAGTTTAAATTATAAATTTTATTAATAGTAATTAATTAGTTTTATATTATTTTATTAGTAATTAATACAGTTTTATAGTATGATTTTATATCATAAATCATTTTTTATTGAATAACAGCTTTTGAATTTAGCTATAAAAACAGAGTTTACAGTTTAAAAGAGGTAACAATCTAAAGCCCGGAAACATTTTCAGATATTACAATTTGCAATTACTTAATTCAAGCTCTGCTTTTGTTTATTAAATATTGTTAAAACTTTTATCAAATAATACGCCTAAGTAAGGGGTTGTCCATAAAGTACGAACGCTAAAAATTTTGAATAATCTGACACCCCTCTCTCCCCCTGTTGCCATGCGTACTTCTAAGTCCAGGGGAGTGTACAGGAAATTTTTTGTCCAAAAAAAAAACTATGCCCCCCTCTGCATGCCTATTTTTTTAGGGAGGGGAGAGGACCGGGTTTTGACCAGATTATTTTATAAAAATGATTTAATAATTCTTTAAATGACTTGTAACATTGATAAAATGGTCACTTAAGCTCAAAATATGAATTTTGCAAACTAAAAAAATTATTTTTTGAAAATACTCAGTTGTCGTAATGTATAATATATACATATTAAAATTTTTTACAAGATTTGTGAAAACAATTTACAAGATTAATACAAGATTTTGCTGTGTAAATTTTTTTATATAACTTAATAAATAACATTTAATTATAAACAAACTTTATAAATACTTAAAGTCAAAAAACTTATGGCAATAACTGTACAATGCTAAATGTTTTTACAAAGATGTCTGGCTATGAAAAGTGTTTTACCTATTTAACAAAAAGCAGCTAAAACATTTGAAGTTATACTTTTATCGTATTTGAATTTTATTTAAAACACAACTCATGAGTATTTATAACAAACTTAAAAAGGTTTGTTGCTTGTAATGTTTCAGTATTATTAGATTAAAGTTCATTTTTGAAATTTAAACTTCCCACAGATCAAATTTAAGTAATAAAGCCTTTGGTTTGGAAATAATAAATAAAACTAATAAAGCTTTTGGTTAAACAAAAGACACTAAAACATATGATTTGGTCTTCTTAACTAGTATAACAAAACATTGAATTTCTGCAATTGTTTTTAGAAGAAACTGAATATTAGAAAGAAGAAGTTAAAACACAGGTGCTTTATAACACTTCAAAAATGTATCAATCAAACATTGTGTTAAACTCAATAATCTAGATAAAACTCAGGTAGACTAGCAAGATAACCAAGTTAAAATAATTTGAAATGCAATGTTTAGGCTTGTTATATATACACACACACACACACACACACATATATATATATATATATATATATATATATATATATATATATATATATATATATATATATATATATATATATATATATATATATATATATATATATATATATATAATATTTCCAGTAAGAGTGCTCAATACAGCAATTTATATAATTAGTAGAGCAAATAATATAGTGAAAACTAAATAATTATTAAGATATATTTCAATTACATCTGATATATTTCAATTACATCTGATTATATATTTCAATTACATCTGGTTACATCTGATGATCGCTATTGCCTGAAACTTTTAGTTATGTAATTGAAATATATCTTAATAATTATTTAGTTTTCACTATATATATATATATATATATATATATATATATATATATATATATATATATATATATATATATATATATATATATATATATATATATATATATATATATATATATATATATATATATATATATATATATATACTATATATATATATATATATATATATATATATATATATATATATATATATATATATATATATATATATATATATTATATGTATATGTATATATATATATATATTATATTTATATTTATAAATTTATTTAAATTATATAAATTAATATATATATATATATATATATATATTTAAATATATATATATATTTATATATATATATATATATATATATATATATATATATATATATATATATATATATATATACATATATATATATATATATATATATATATATATATATATATATATATATATATATAAATATATATATATATTTAAATATATATATATATATATATATATATATATATATATATATATATATTAATTTATATAATTTAAATAAATTTATAAATATAAATATAATATATATATATATACATATATATATATATATATATATATATATATATATATATATATATATATATATATATAAATATATATATATATTTAAATATATATATATATTTAAATATATATATATATATATATATATATATATATATATATATATATATATATATATATATATATATATATATATATATATATATATATATATATATATATATATATATATATATATATATATATATATATATATATACCAACCTGAGGTTGATAGTCAAATACTTAGATAACAAAGTCTATACTTTTCTTTTTCTTTTTATAAAATTTGTCGATTATATCATCAATGGATATAATAGTATGCATGTGAACATGCAGCAAAGCTGCATTATTCGATTTGGTTCTCTGTATTTCGATTTTAGCCTATTCTCAATCTTAATCATGTTTTCAATCTACAATAATATGTTTTAAGCCAATTTATATTTCATAGTATCAGTAATTTTATTTGAATTTGATACAGTTTCTTTTTTTAGTACTAAGTAACCAACGTCGGTTAAATAAATTCATTACACACATTAATTGATATACTTACAAAGTATCCATGCCACAATTTCATATTTTATAACACCCAAAGAAAAATCAGTAATATCTTTTATTAAAATACTAAGTAAACTAGTTTTTCTTTTCTGTGGTTCATCATAGTTCCTATTACGATTATCATGATTCTCATAAAGGATAAACAATATGATTTATTTAAAATTTATACTTAATAAGTTTAAAATCTTCTTCTTGATTATTAAAGAAAACCTAAGGACAAATACTAGTTTTTATCAATGCAACTATAAACAGCTTCTACTTTTTTTTTTTTTTTTTTTTTGCTGTTTCATATATTTACAATATAGACATATTACATTTATAAAAATTGGCCGGAGCAAGAAGAAGACAATGACTGTCTTATCGCCGAGCCCCGTTTACAAATTGCCCGTGTTTATAAACAAATATAAATAAAATATACAAAAAAACGTTAAAGAGTACATAACTTTTGTCAAATAATAAAATGACATTTATATTAAAATTTAAAAGTAAAGAAAGTTTTGTATACTAATACAAATATATTTGATACATATAACAAAATATATTTAATGATAATGGGAGCGTTTGTTTCTATTTTAAAATTTCCTTTTAAAAAAAGTACTAAAAGTCTATTGAATTAAAATCTAATTGAAGTAAGATTCTTTTAGAAACTGCTTTAAATTTTTCTGAAGAGTAGTGTTCTTTATTAAAGTTTTTAATAAAATTTTTCCATAAAAAGGTCCTCGATATTTAACTTGATAAGAACTTATTTTTAAATTTATTCTCGGAACAATAAAGTTGTCCGCTGAAAACTTTGTTGGATACTTATGAGATATTTCGCTAAAATAAGATTGAAATATAAGTGGAGATATTCCATGTTTCATTTTAAACATGAAAAGTAATGTTTGGTAAATGTATAGTTTATAAATGTTTAAGGCCTTGAGACGATTTAATAGTGGTTCGCAATAAACAGTTCTGTTTGCCCCAAATATAATCCTACAAGCATGCTTAAAGAGTACTATAAAGTTTTTTGAGTTTTCCGTAATTCGTACTTCCCCATGCAATGTTGCAGTAAGAAAGATAGCTGTGAATAAATGAAAAATAAATTTTCAT